GACAGTTGTTATCTACCATGTTGGTGCTTGGAATTGAACCCAGGTCCTCTGCAAGAGCAGTCAGTGTTCTTAACCACTGAGCCATCTCTCCAGCCCCTCTCCACACCTTTTTAATATAGTGCTTGAAACTTTTGCTAGAACAATAGAATAAGAGAAGGAAGTTAAGCCAAGCATGGTGGCACATGCCTTTAATCCCAGCACTCGGGAGGTAGAGGCAGGTGGATCTCTGTGAGTTCAAGGCCAGCCTGGTCTACATAGTGAGTTCCAAGCTAGCTAGGGCTACAGAGAGACCCTGTCTCAAAAAGACAAAAAAAAAAAAAAAGCGAGAGAGAAGGAAAATAAAAGAGCACTAACTAAAAAATAAAAGGTCAAATTATCCCTATTTTTGCAGATAATATGATATGATACCCAAGAGATCCCAAAAATTCCATGAGAAAACTTCTAGAAATGATTAACACGTTCAGCAAAGTGACAGGTTACAAAATTAATCTTGAAAAATCAGTAGCCTTTCTATATACCAATAACAAGCAATCAGAAAAAAACATTCATGGAACTCCTCCTATTCACAATAGCAAGAACTACCTAGGAATAAACTTGAGAAGACATTAAAGATCTCTACAATAACATTTTTAATCTTGGAAGAAAGGAATTGAGGAAGACACCAGGAGATGGAAGGACCTCCCATGCTCATGGATTGGAAGAATTAATATTGTGAAAATGACCATCCTACCAAAAGCCATTTATAGATTCAATGCAATGCCAATCAAACTCCCCATGACATTCTTCACAGAATTAAAAAAAAAAAATCCTAAAGTTCATATGGAAACACAAAAGACCCCAGATAGCGAAAGCAATCCTGAACACAAAGCAACACTAAGGATTACTATACCAGATCTCAAAGTATACTACAGAGCTATAGTCATAAAAACACCATGGTACTGGCATAAAAACAGACACATAGATCAATGGAACATCATTGAAGACCCAAACCCACATACACGTAATTTCAGCCACCTGATATTTGACAAAGTTGCCAAGAACACAATGGAGGAAAGACAGCATCTTCAACAAATGGTGCTGGCAAAACTGGATCTCCACCTGTGGAAGAATGAAACTAGATCCTTATCTTTTGCCTTGCATAAAAGTCAACTCCAAAAGGATCAAAGACCTCAGTGTGAAACTGGAAACTCAGAAACTATTAGAAGAAAACATTGGCAGTAACTTACAGGATATAAGTGTAGGACCAACTTCAAATGGAGCCAAGACCTCAGTGTGAAACCTGAAAGTCTGAAACTGTTAGTATTGGCAATAACCTACAAGATATAGGTGTAGGAAAGGGCTTTCTAAATCAAACATCAATTGCTCAGGAATTTAGGTCAACAGTCAACAAGTGGGACTTCATTAAACTAAAAAGCTTCTGTACAGCAAAAGAAAAACCAAGGAAGTGGAGGGAAAATCTACAGAAAGGGAGAAAATCTTCACCAGAGACACATCTGACAGAGATTTAACATCCAGAATATACAAAGAACTCAAAAAACAAAGAATCAAGGAAACAAATGACCCAATTAAAAGATTAGCTATGGCTGGGCATGGTGGCACATGCCTTTAATCCCAGCACTCGGGAGGCAG